CTCATCGCGGTTTTTCAGAAAGACCGCCAAGATCCTCCACTCTAAACAGAGTAGGCTGTAACTTCTTATGAAAGAATTCTTACGAATTTCCTGAGTAAAGAAAGGATGTTCAGCGCCTACAATTACTTTTGATACGTATTTGCTCAGCCTGAAGGTTCATAATTTCTGGTCTTTTCCTCATCAGCTCACTTATATCTGTTTACGCAAAACGCTGCATTAGCTGGAGAGACTAAGTATGCACAGCTAAATTGATTGCGTTGCAACTTAGCAAAGCCAAAAATATTTCAGACTGTTGAAACCGTGTAAAAATGTGAAGTTGGCAAGTCCGTCTTCGTTTCACTTTCGTAATGCAGCCGTTTCTGTTGCCCCTCTTTTCACGCAGCTAATTGCAGCTTCGATCTCTATTTCAGTGCCATCATCCAGAGACAGAGTCGATAGCAGCTATGTGCCAGGCATGGCGTATAACTTCCTGCTGACCCCTACAATAGTTTGAAACGACTGGGTCTGACATGGTACGGACTGAGCAACCCCGGTCGTGTCTGACGGACAAACTTCTAACTCCCTTTAATTGATCCCTCCGATGAGTTCAGATACTTCGTCCTCTGCTTCGTTATCTTCAGGATCATGCAACTAGTAGAAAAATCATGTTACGCCATACATATGAGGTTAATTTTTTTTACTATTACATTCTTTTTCCTTTAACAATATAACTGATATTGGAAAGTCAATGACATGTAGAGCACGATGAACAATTATAATAATATTACGAATAAAGTAGACATGGTGAATAGGGAATCAGGCAGAACGGCACTGGAAGAGAGGGAAGGGGAAGACGGAGGGTCGGTGTGGAAAGGTAGGCGATTGGAGGACGAGCGTGCCAATCGCATTTTGCACCATGCCAACCTGTCAGACCTTGGGCTATGCCTAATTTCAAACCGTATTGTCTGAATATTCCAGTTGTGTTCAATCCAGTAGCATTTGTAGTTTATCCGTCAATTTTTTCATTTAACTTTTTTGAAATCAGACCGTCTGTACAAACTGTTGCTGTCATTAATCGTACACTTGATATGGCTGTTTTATATCGATAGCCTGGTTTTGGTATTTTCATACTTTTCTGCATGCTTTCTATACATCCTCATCCACTGGAACAGCATACTGTATAAACATATATGACATGACTACTTGTTTATACGATCCAAGATTATTGTGTTCGGGCGATTGCGATCAACTGCACAATCACTGAATGGTGGGTGATGGAAGTGCATGGCGCTTTAGCCATCCTGAATCACTCCCAGTGAATGGTGTCGATGGTGCTGTGTCGTATCTGGTACAAGAACTTGATGGAACATCAGCTGTCGATGTTTCATTTTCGCGAAGTCATTGTACTGTCTCAGGTACTACTAGATGTTGGCCAAAACAGAGCAACCGGCTACAGTATGTTTGATTTGTTCCACTGTACTGCCGCACATTCCACCTTGATGCAAAATCTTTACCTTCAGTACTTTTGCTCATCACACTTCTTCATCAGCAGTGTCCGATGTTTTCCAAAATAATCTTCCCTCTCGAGACCTGACATCTTCTTATCACGTAAACTAAACGACATATTGTTTATAGGTTACAACTATATTGATCCCGTGACTAATAGTGGCAAGATATTCACGATTGCCTTCGCTCTGGTCGGCATTCCATTGATGTTCATCACCGCAGCGGATATTGGCAAATTTCTGTCGGAAACGTTCCAGCACGTGTGTGAATGGGGCAATCGGCTGTACCGCGCGTTTCTCGGATTTTGTTACAAGGAGCGGGACGTGCAGAATAGCAGAAAATTATCAGGTGATCAGAAAAGTGCCCTAGAAGAGCTCATTGACACTGCCAATGCGGACGTGGCCACCGCCGATAGTCTGTGGTTTCCCATAGGTGCTTATGTTTTTTTGATGTGTTTATACTGCAGCATCGGCGCGCTGCTATTCTGTAGCTACGAGGACAACTGGGAATTCATCCATGCTTTCCATTTCGCTTTCAATACTGTGGTCACAGTAGGCATGGGGAACATAGTGGTCACCGACTACTTCTATCTGTGCTTCATCGTCGCCTACGTCGTGATCGGTCTGTCAGTTGTGACGATGTGCATCGACCTGGCGTCGACCCACCTGCAGACCTACTTCCAGAAGATTCACTACTTCGGCCGGGCGCGAAGACGATTTTTAGGCATGTCCGACGACATCAAGGAGATGATGTCGCTGATCAGCGCTCTGCGCAAGAAGAAAGGCGGAAAGGTGACGTGGGACGATTTGAAACAGTACCTCGAAGTGGAGCGGATGCGGCCCTTCATACCTCGCAACGTTCACCTTTGGAGATACGTCGATGAGACGAGCAGCGGCATGTCGACGTACCGTCAAAACTCGCTGATGTCCTGTTCCTCACTCATTAGCCAAAGACAGTCCGGTATTTTTGGAGAACGTGACCACGGAAGCGCCCAGCACCTTTGAACCCGTACCCGTACGTGCTGCCAGTCAGCCAGTCATCGACTGACCGATCGACCGACCGACTGACCGACAGACCGACCGAGCACCACCTCACCTCCCGGCTCAAGCTTAGGAACATACGACAAACGCACAATGCTGATCCGCTGTCCAAACAGTTGATCGTCAAACAGCTTTCGCTAGACGTCGCCAGACCATTTTTTAGCGAACGTTTCTTTACCTGAACCACTCTCGTACAATACGATAATATATTTTATATTATTTTGTTTCTGGTATGAAAAAACGGAATCTCATTGTTAGGTACTGCCTTATTATAACAAGCAGATTATGCATGTGTATATCAGAGAGTTACTGTACAGTAAAATCGAGAATCGATGGGCGGCTATCAATATTACCTGCTCTTGCAGTTTGTGCTTATGACGCTGTTTTCTACACTATGGACGTTCAATGACGAAGGCTGTTGCAGATTCCAGATTGAAAACTTATTCCATTCCCAGCGATTACTCGATCAAGTGCAATAAAGTTAAAATATGTTTTTAACCTAGGACCCGTTTGAGTTCTGACTGCAATTGAATGAATGATGAACTTGCAATCCAGGTAAGCTCACCAACTAGGAAATCAATAGAAGCGCTGCGGCATTAGCCAACTTTAACCTATTAGAATGAATACTGCTCATGTAGGCGAAGAAAGAACTGTTCGATTCAGTCATTATTCTGACTCGTCATTATTAGTTCTGACTCGTCATTATTCACGGTGCTGAATGTTGGTTTATTAATCGAGCTGAAGGGGACAAAGTAATCCTCATGAAAAGAGCAATGGAGCGAAGAATGCACAAGATATCCCATAAGATCACGGTGAACACAACAGTAGACAACGGTCTGGATTAACAGGAGTGATTTCTGACTTCTGGGATGCAAAGAGGAACAATTCATGGTGGTCACTAATCATCAACTTGACTCGATTGGATCATAAACCTGACTTGGCCGTAGGTTCCAAAACATGCTGGAACGATGTCATATTACTTGACCAACGGTGGAGGCAGATAACGGAGATAATACTGGAGGAGGGGGGGGGACGTCGACTTTCATTCATGGCGAGCCCAGAGCGAAAAGAAGTCGAAGAACAGAGTTCAATATTTACCATTATATATGTGAAATAGGAAGCGCAGGTGAAGTGCGACATGAATACCTATGCATAGCCGACTGATTACGCCGTGTACGATTGAATTTCTTGGCTGTCTAAACTGTACCATTCGGTCAATTTAGCGTGGGAGACATTGCGAGCAGGTTTAAGGTTCCCAACTGCAGTGTTGCAGTCTCAATGGCACGCAGTCTCTCCTGTCTGTGAAAGAAGAGTAGTTTTGCGGTTAGACATTCTAACAAAGGAAATAATTTCGCATTTCCTAAGCACTAAGTATTCTCGAGTAAGGTCATTCAAAGTGCTCTGCAGATAAGCGGGATTACTTGATCAAGCATTGAATTAACTGCTTGAGAAAATCAATAATTTTGATTGCTTATATAACTGTCGTTTGAGCAGTATGTAGTTTTACAAGTGTTGAAGGAGTAGGTAATCAAAGAAATGCGAATTCGAATTGTACAAGCACTCTGACAAGGTCACAGTATGAAGACTCAGGCATTTCAAGATCCTGTAGAAATCGTAGTCCGCACTGGCACTTGGCCAAAGAGACAACATACTGTCCAGGCTGTTTACTGCATCCCTCGAGCTGGTATTATTCTAAACGAAATGAAAGGTTTGTAGTCAGTCTAATGCACATTGCTCAAACCTGCGTTTGACTCTGTGAGGCTTTGTTTTCCTGCTTTCAGCTCTTCAATGAGACATTTAGACAGGTCTCTGGTATACGGTACTTAAGTACTTACAGTGCAGTACCCATGACGTCTTACGTTTGCTACTGCAATCACTTTGAAGAAAACGTTTCTCTTTTGTGATGCCAACTTTTCAACTATTTTGCCATAAGACACGAATTGCTGCATCGTAAAAGGCAGAATCCTCTCCCATTGCAAATTCGTATTCTATCTTGTTCATCATTTTGATTCATGGCCTTCCGGTGGACGTCTGCCTTCAGTTCCCACACCAAACGCTTGCGAACTACAGTAAAGGTTTTGTGCTCAGTCATCGGTTTCAGAATCGTTTCTTTAAGCTTCAGGCTTACTGAAGTCACCACTGCTCAGAAAAAGCAGACTCATTCGTTATGTGGTCCTACCATTTACCCTCGTTATTCTTTGAAATTACTGCAACACTCGTTCTTTGTCCTGGATTATATCAGTTGTCCTTATACCATACAACAACAAAGACCTGAACGAGGTAAGGAACACGTCGACTTTTATCGAATGGATTACTCGTTTCTCAGCTACAGTATTCGACAAGGTACCAAAGGCACTGGAGGCAATGGGGTGGGTTACTTACTTTCATGTAACTCTTAATTAAAGTTGCCGCTGCCAGAAATTACGCAACTATGGTAAATGGTTATATTGAACTCTTCTACCATTTCACATCCTCACAATGTTTGGCAGTCAGTGGCGCCAGGGATTTCCTCTACATCTTAATGGCGAGTGCGAAACTTTGTTGTTCATTTACAGTGTTTCACCACATGTTATTTTTTGATGATTACCAACAGGAGTTGGTTTTAACCTACAGTTGCACAATATTACGATCATACGTTAATTCTTCAGGGTATCGACGGCACGTCAAAACAACAATTAGATAGAACCCTGAAAACTCGTAACCGTAAAGCAATATACGGAGAATAATGAACTCCGCTGTTGCCGGTCCCAAGCAGGGATGAGAAAGGAGGAAGGTTGGAGACAGCGGCGAGGTTTCCGTATAACCTAGCGGCTTGTCCTTCATGGTACTGTCGTCATCGAACATTAGACTGGCTCGGTCTTCGACTGAGTTACTAAGGGCCAAGCAGTCTGCTGGAGGACTGTGGGTTGCAAAACCTCGGTGATCAGAACCTTCTCACCTCTTTCAGGCAGCCGGTGGCACAGCAGCATAACAACGGCTGCTGACGACTGATTCTTTGTCACAGCAACTGCAAGCATCATCTGTCCTTGACAGGAATGCCGATATGAATCTTAGGCTCGAGCAATATCATAATGGTAGAATTATCCCGCTCTTGTCCATTTAGGTGCCGCGGACTACGTCACCTTCCACGACATTTCTCTACCGTCTATCAAGTTTTGTCTCGAACTTCTTTTTGTCGTTCCTTGAGTCATCCGTCTCCGTTCAAAGGGCTGATCGCATGATGAAATACATTCATTGTATTTTCTTCAGGGAATAATACGAACAGGGACTCCTCTGAATATCCAGTGTACATTTGTATGCAAGTTGCATGGGCATGGTTAGTTTAGGAATTATGAGGTAACAAGCTATGTTGATCAGTTCTCTAAATTACCGACATTTTTCAGTTGTGTACTTGAGAACCTTTCCACTAACCATTTTCCATGGCCAGTGCTGAACGTCTACACTGGAGGCATGGAGCGTAAGGCAGGGTCGATAACGAAATCAAGAAACACATACGATCAGTACTCATCATCGCGTGTATGAAACAGCTGCACCAACATGGAAAATACTTTGAATTTAATTTCATTTTCAAACTGAGCCTACAGATGAGTGAAGTAGAGGCAAATACTAAAAATCACAGTATGCAGTGAAAAGAAGCATTGAGTCATTTACTGTAGTATCATAACTGATTTTTCTGCCATGTCAACTAACTTCCATAAAGAAGGAGACTCTTATTGCTATGACATGCAAATTCTGAAGGTTCACTGGTCTTTTAAGCAAGATGATCCTTTTGCGGACAGAAACATAACGCATCGTGTATAACATATGAAATATCGCATAATGTTCCTGACCATCTTATCATTAGTGATAAAAATTATAACGAATAATAACCTGGAAATGAGAGAAACTCAGAAAGGCCTTGATGATCTGGCTGATCAGTGCAACTGAGAGTTTCATTCAAAAAATATTGCTGAAATCACAACGCCATTATCAGTAGTTTTGCTGAATCTGAAATGGTGCGTATGATAAGCGAAAAACTTTCTGGAGCGACTTAAAGAAAAAAGGGAAGAATATCTGCAAAGAGAACGTCTAATTTTCATAACATTTAATGGGACACCATGGTGGCGACGTTTTTAGTTTATAAATGAGGTTCTGATAACTTGGTTGGATCGTGCTAATTAAGTGAACCTAAATATTCAACACTAAGTCTGTATTCCAAAATGGCATAGCAAATTTCGGCTCCGTTTATCCACAGGAAAGGTACATGTTTCGATGTTCTAAAAATTAATACTTCAAGGTCACTGAGTTATGCTCTGTCATTTACAGGTAGTACGGTATTTGAAGAGATGGTTAGCGATCAGAGCCACAGGTATTGTGGTTTTGATTGATACATCAGGTTGAGTCGTTTGCATAGGCATGGCGTCTCTGGTTTGTGATTCCCGCTGAATCAACAGCTTTTAACACGTTTTCTGCAAGGAGCTGGTTACTGAATTGCACAAAGAAATAATCCTCTCCTAAAACATACCTGCCTCTACCACGTTAACCCATGTTGCGCGCTGACTTCTTGTCAGACACCTTCCATGTTTTGGCTCTTCCGTAAGAAGCCCAGGAATTTCAGTAAATGTCTTACTAAACCATTCTGCTAAGAGGATCAACCTCCTTCTTTAAATTTCCACATCCACTGAATTAACTGTTCCCTTAAGGAGCAGAGTCACTTCTCACGTGGTCCTGACATTAAACTATAATTATGCATCGAAGTTTCGCCCCTTGGTTAAAACAACTGTCTTCAGGTCGTAAAACAGCCTGGCGGAGGAAAGCCTACAGGCGAACTTTTGTGGATGGAAACACTGGTTTCTCAGCTCAAATGTTAGACAGGTTTCCAAAAGCACAAGAGACCAAAACAATTCTCTTATTCATCTCTGACTGGATGGAGGCTCTACGAGAGATAATGGAACTGAGATTTTGTCAACCTCCCCAATGACTTAACCTTCTTGTTCCACGCATGAATCAGCAGTGCCGATAGATCAGCAGTACGATTCTCACAGCATTCTTATATTTTAGAGAAGCGTACAACGAAATACAGCCAGTATGTAAATTGGCAGAAAATTGGAAAGAGTGAGAATCGAGAATATATACAGAAACCGTATCGGTCCATACTAAAGCAGCAGTCAGAATAAGGCTTCA